TCTCCCCCTCTCCCTGCCTTCTTTTGGAGCAAGTGTTTTTTTTGTGCTGAGTTGCCCCCCAGCGGTGACTCTTTACCGTGTGATTTCGGCATCTGTCCCGCTGTGGCTGCTGACTGCAGTGGTCCTTGAGGACCACCCCGTGCCAGGGTGTACATCCTCAGGTGTAGGAATTGCACCATCCCTGACTCTGCTTTCGACAGCCAGCTCTCTCTTTACAGATTAAAATAATGCGTGCCTTGAAGCTGCGGGCACGTCAGGATGTGACAAATCAAACAGAGGCCCAGAGGGAGCCCCTGGACTGAGGAATAGTTCAATGTTCAAAGTGACCAGACTCGGTGGGGTTGCTACCCCGAACCACGCGCCGGTGCAGGGCAACCACGGACAGCGCGGGGCAGGAGGGGCGGACGCGCCAAGCTCCTGCTGAGCGGTTCTGCGTATGGAAATCTCCGCGGGGCAGTGACCGGATGGGGCTGGGGGAGGGGGGCGCTGCGGGCGGCAGGCTGCGGAGCTGGTCTGAGCGCTGGCAGCTCGCGGATCCCATTTGCCCGGATGACCAAGTGCGCTCTGCCTCAGCAACATGGAATTGGAACGTGCCGCAAGGTTTGCCGTTCTCGGGTGATTCCGCATTGATGGAAGGGCAGACAGATCGATCCGCAGCGCTCGCGGAAAGCTGTGTGGTGAGCCGTCTCCACGGTCACATGGCCCCTCTCACGGGGGCCTCTGGCCGCCGTCCAGGCTCAGGCCCAGGCCACAGAGCCCTGCAAGAGTCTGGCTCTCCGTCCACTCCAGACCACGAGACCTGTGCACACAGAAACACCAGAAACCTATGGCCCTTCTGGCCACGTGGTCTGCCCGCTGTAGCTGCCCTTCCGACTGTAATTGGGCTCTGGGCTGATTACCTCACCCGTTTATCTGCCAGAACCCGGGCTCAGAGGCCCCAGGGGTGCAAGACAACAGCTCAGGCCGGCTAATTGCTTCCCCACCAGGAAGGTGGTTTTGCGAGGCGAGGTCCGAGCACATCTCTCTGGGGACCAGCACAGAGGGGCTGAGCCTGTGGCATCCACGGGGGCAGGATGAAACCAGGCCTGTGAATAAAACATCTCGGCGAGCCAGCATGCTGCCCTCCCCCAGGAAGACCGCCCCTCCTCGGAGTGTCTGGGCGGCCCTCGACGCCCTACCGTCCCGCCCTGCCTTCCTGGTGCACGGTCTGCCCTCTCCGCCCTGGCCTCCACACCGGCCCCAGGGGCCCCCAGCTCCTGCCCAACTATGGAGACCCCCAGACGGAGCCCCACGCCCGCCCAGGAGGGGCTGGAGCAGCACAGAGGGAGAGGACGGAGGCCGTTAATGGGAGCCAGAGAGGCAGGGCCGGGGGCCCCACGGAAGAGGAGCTGCGGCAGAGGACGGATTGCCGCGTGCTGACTGCTTTGTCGTCTTTTCCAAGAACAGACTGTTTACTGTAATCATCGTGGCGACCCCATTTTCCCTCCTCCGTACATCCTGACTTCCCCCGCCCTGCATTTATGTCGTAGCCGCTCTCCAGCTTCCTCAGTTAGAAGCTCGGATAATTCACTTTCAGTCTTTGATCTCCGAATACGGGCATCTAAGGTCAGAAAGGCTTCTCTTGAGACTCTCCAGACGCTCCCCACAGGCCGTGACATCACCCCACCCCGCCGCCCGCTGTCTTGCGTTGGTTCGCTCCCCACTTAAGGGGCAGGTCGCAGGCAGGGAGGTGGCCGGCACGGTGGCCCCCTGGGCTTTCCCTGGACAACACCCAGCTCACGGTCCTTGCTTGTCCTTCCCCGAGCAGCTGGGGTGGCCCTGGGACCAAGCGCTGACCAGAGCCTGAAGGACAGCGTCTCCTCTCCCGACAGGGCCCGCCCTTCTCACTGTGCTCTTGCCGGGAATGGGACAGAAGCCCCTCTGGGGAGGATGGAGGGCAGAGGGCGGCGCCACCCAGCAGTGCCCTGACCTGGATGCCACCTCCTGTCCCTCCGAGCTGGTCAGGGGACTGGTCACTTGCCGTCCCAAGCACAGGCCCCGGGAACCCCTGAATATAGTTTCTGTCCCTTCTGGCGTATGTTCTCGTTCTAACGTTACTGTTTTGTTTTGTTTGGTTTTAAGATTATATTTACTTATTTAGAGAGAGACCATGAATGGGAGCAGGGGGCAGAGGGAGAGGGAGCAGCAGGCTTCCGGCTGAGCAGGGAGCCCAGTGCGGGACTTGATCCCAGGACCCCGAGATCACGGCCTGAGCCAAAGGCAGATGCTTCACCGACTGAGCCCCCTGGCGCCGCCTCGCGTCACCGTCCCCATGCTATGGCCGGGGTGTGTGGCTCCGTCCTGGGTGGCCTTCGCAGAGCTGCTGAGATGTCCTCGATGTGGTGACACACACTTGGTTTTTATTCCTGTCCCGTGTGTCTCCTCGGGGCCTCTGGTTCCCACTGCTGGGGCGGGTGCAGAATCAGACACACACACGCATGAACGGTGCGTGTTTATGTGTGTGCCGTGTCTGTATGCATATGCCCCACGGAATTAATACACGACTATAGATACATATTTCATTTTCTGTACACAGATACGTGGCACCTCACGTCTATAACTTCTATGTAATGTCCGCGTGTGTTGTGTATGTTTGTGTACGTCACATGATGTGTACACGTGTATTTCTATACAAACACACGCTTGTGTGAGGGTGCGCACACACAGCAGGACCTCGGTCTTACTGATTGTGTTATTCAAATTCTGTCCTGTTTTTCTTTTGTTCTTGATTCCCTGATTTCTGAGAAAATATCTCAAATATTACTGTGGATTTGCCAATTTCTCCTTGAGTTTCTATCAAGTTTGCTTTATATACTTAAAAAGCTGCCGTGTTGGGTGGGTGACAGTTCCCGAACGGGATACCTTCTGAATGCATGAAGCCCTTTGCTGCTCGAATGCTGCTCCCGGCTCCGCACGGGAGGCCCCGGAGGGATCAGGCGTCCGTGCGTCCGGCAGGACTCTCCCCACGCCTTTCTGCGGGAGAGCCTTTGCCCAGTGCGACCTGTCTGAGTCATTAGCTCTCAGACGTCTGTCTTAGGTGATACAGAAAAACACACAGAAAACAAGACAAAGGAGTTGCGTTTTTTAACCCAATATGAAAATCACGATCTAAACGTGTCACGGTCCCTGCTGCTTTGAGCGTTTCCTTCCTCGTTTCACAGTAACCGTCCTCTACTGGTTACGGTGCTTCTCTGCACCTCGTCGTTCCCATTGCCTCCTCCGGGGTGCACGGTTCTTCCCGTCTCTGCCCCCTGCCGCGGCCACGAGCCCCACAGCCGTCCTGTGGCCACACTTCTGTGAGCCCTGCCGGCCGCGTGGCAGGACCATGGGCGGCATCTCCTTCCTTCTCCCGCGTGAGAGGAGACCTGGGCCCTGGGACCACCGCCCGTCTCCTCCGCCAGCTCTGGGGAGACCAGCTAAGCCACACGATTTAACCGTGTCTTTTCTCAGCACAGACCTTGGTCTGTGCGCCCGCGCAGGTGTGTGTGCGTGTGTGTTAAGGACTGAACCTTTGTCTCCCCACCCAAGTGCCCGTGTCGGAGCCCTAACTCCCAGTGTGGCTGTATCTGGAGGCCTCTAAGGGAGTAATGAAGTTAGACGGGGCGAAGGCGTGCAGCCCTGAGGTGGCAGGGAGAGGGCCCTCGTAAGAAGAGACGTGGAAGCCCTCACGCCCTCTCTGTGCAAACGCCGAGCACGGGCAGGTGAGCCGGGCGTGCAAGGCAGGAGGAGAGCCTGCGCCGCAGCCAGCCCCACCCGCCCCTCGGTCTCGGTCCTCCGGCCTCCGGGACCGACTGGACGTGAACGCCCGCGGCTCAGCCAGGCTAAGTCAGGGCTTGCTCTCCTGAAACGCATCTTAGAGAGTCTTTCGGAAAGGGCGCGTGGGTAACGCGTTTTTTGAGCCTTTACAACTCTAAAGTGTCTTTATTTGGTGTAGCCAAGGTCCCCACACCTGAGCACCTGCGTTGGGGGAGCTGCGGAAAGGGCGCTGGGCGGTGGGTCTGAGAGGGAACGGCCCGTTCGGGCCTCAGGGGCCTGCAGGATGTCCCGGGGAGGAGCCCGAAGGAGATGCCGCCGGACACGCCCTCGGGCCCCGGGGGGGCTTGGCCGTGGCTTGGAAGAGGTGTCAGTGGCCCAGACTCAGCCCCCTGACCGCTGTCTGTCTGAACCCGGTGTGTGGGAAGCACAGAAGACGCCGACCCGGCCGGTTTGGGCAGCCCGCTTAATGCTGGTTTTACAATATTCCAGCCCTGGCCACTCCGGGTGGTTCACGCGCCATTGACATGGAGAAGGGGGATCCCACGCCATCGGGGCCCACCGCCTGCCCCTCCCTCGGCTCATGGGACAGGGGTGCTGTGCCTGGAGAGCCCCCACCCAAGTCCCTGGCCTTGGATCTCCAGAGAAGCGTGTGCTCGTGTGAGCCCCGTCCCCTCGCGCACCGGCCCAGCCCCGACTGCTCGGGGCAGTGAACTGCGGCTGCGGGCGCCCCCGACCCCAGGGCGGGCGTGGGTCCACGTAAGGTCATGGTGGACACCATCTCCGGGGTGTGGGCCCAAGGACAAGGCCACGGGGGAGCCCCGGCTGTCCAGGAAACGCAGGCCTTGGGCCCACACACGTCGGTTGTGGATGAGCTGCCCACGACGTGGACGGGAGGGATCTCGCTGGCTGAGGGTCAAGGCCGCAGGGGTAGGGATGGCTGTGGAGTTCCCAGGGGCCACGTCAACCCTGGGGAATGGCCCTGTGACCCGAGCCAGCTGTCCCCTGCCTGGGCTCTCCTCTGGGGCGCCCTGACGCTCTCCACTTCACAGGCTCATCTGCCTGGGAGCTCAAGGTGGCCGTGAGAGGCGGCGGAGCCCACGCCACAGCAGGCGGTGCCCGGAAGCAGCCCCCTGCCCGCCCGGGGTCCGGGGCCGACTGTGGCTCCAGCAGTTGGTAGTAGCCTGTGTCTGGGGAAGCACACGACAAGCCTCGCCCTCCCCTGGCGGTGGGGCCCAGCTGGAGTGCACGGGTCAATAGAAAGCCCCAAACAGAGCGGCCACCTTCTGGAGGATGGTCTTGTGGTTGGCATACAGCGGGATGCGCTTGTCCACGACCTGCCACTGGACGGACATCCCGGGGTCGCAGGTGTGCAGGTGCTGCAAGGGCGAACAGAGATCTTGACCCCCTGCTGAGCTGGCCCAGACACCCCAACCTTCAGCTGCAGGAGGACTGCGGGGACACCGTGGCCCTGGGCCCGGCCCTGCTCTGGCCTGGCCATCGGCTGGCTCACGGTGCTCTCGTAGCGAAGCGGAGTGACAAGAGACCATGTGGCCTTGCTCCTGTGTTCCGTCCGGCAAACGCAGCCCGGGGTCTGCTCCCTGGGCCTCCATGGTCCCAGCTCAGACTGATTTACATATGGGGGACCCCAACCCCATGAAGACACGAGAATCCCGCCCCCTCCCAAGAGGTCCGGCTCTGACTCCGTCCTGGCCTCTCCTCCTGGAGCCCCTGCTCTCTGCAGCTCCCCCTCTGGTCTTAGCCAGCTCTGGGCGCCTGGGAACCGGCGGGCCCCCCAGAGCATGCTCACCCCCCCCCACTTGTTGGGAGCCCGTGCCCGAGCCTCCTACAGAGTTCAGCCTCTTCAGATCCATGTCGCTCTGGTCTGGGAAGTGGATGCTGAGGGCCACTGTCTCTATCCAGGCGTTGTCTGTGTTCCTTGGGTCGTCCACATACCCCTTGTACACCTGGGGGGCAGCACGGGGGTGAGCCGGCCCGCCCAAAGGAGCCCTGAGCCCCACCCCAGCTTTTTCCCAGAGGGACCCGCATGGGCCCTGTGCTCCGTCCAGGCCCTGGGACACTCTGGGCACCGCTCTCCGCTGCCCCAGCCACCGCCCTGCCCCCGCCAGCTCGCTCCCTGCCCGGTGCAGCCTGCTCCCCAGCAAGGCCCCAGCATGCCTGGCCCACGGTGGGGCCCGCGCCTCACTCATCTCCCTCCCGGTCTCTGGCCTGACATCCGGACCGTCCTCTACTGTCCTTGGAGGGACTGAAACAGGACTGCCGACCTCAAAGTCATGACGCTAAGTGAGAGAAGCCAGACGCGGCGGCCGAAGGCCACGCACTGTGTGATTCCACTAACAACCAGGGCCCTGCGCAGGCAGACTGGCGCCAGGAGTGGGGGAGGGGCAGGCGGGGAGTGCGGGGGTGGGGCGAGCACTTGGGCTGATGGGAATGTTCTGGAACAGGCGGAGGTGGTGGTCACACACACACAGGGCACTCAAGGCCACTGACCTGCTCCCTTTGAAACGGTCCATTCTATGTTACGTGGATTCCAGCTCAGTCAATAAGCTGGTTGATCCTTCTTACAAAGTACAGAAAAGAGGCAGCGGGGTGGCCCCAGGATGGCCCTCGTGACAGGACTGGCTCCAGAGACAAAGCTCTAAACCCCAGCTCTTGCCTGTTTTGCCCTGAATGGGCCAGAAACAGGGCCGGGGACAGCTCGGAGGTCCACTGAGGACGCTTGAGGAATCCCGGTGCAAAGCCTCCCGGGGCCATGGAAAAGGGTGGGTGAATTTTAAATCAGGGCCTAAAAATAGGACCGTCGTGCATTAAGCAAAAACATTATGGGGAAATGTGTGCGGTGTGGCTGCATTTCTGTCAAGCTCATGTGGGGTTCACGCAGAGACCGTGGGCCCGGAGCCCACGCGGGCGGCCACAGAGGCCAACAGAGGGCCTGGTGCAGGGGTCTCCGGCCCCATGAGTGGGAGTGAACGTGGGAGTGTGGCAGCACGCGCGGACTGCTTTCGGAATGACGAAAACATTCAATGAGGAATGCGGGCCTGAGCAAGTTGCCTCCGGGGCCACGGTCTGGGAAGCCTGCGGGGGGTGTCCCAGCACCCCCCTGCCCAGGGAGACACAGACCCTGCGGTGTCTCAGGGCAACAGTGAGTGTGGGAGGGAGGGGGCGCCCCCTTGATTCAGAGAGAACAGGGACAGAGAAGGAAAGCAGGTGCCCAAGGCCCAGAGCCACGGCCAGCCCTGCCTCCCGCTCTCGGCCTTTCCTCCGGGAGCTGCAGGGAGTGGGTCGGGAGCAGGGTCCCCAGTGGGTCCTGCTCTCCCTGCCGGTCTCACCACCAGCACACCGTGGGAGGCCAGGACACACAGACAGGGTTGAAGCAGAAAGGCTGCCTTACCTCGGTGCCCTGAATCAGCAAGTTCTGGAAGGAAGACCAGAACTCCCTTCGGAGGACCTGCTTCAGCTTCCGGGGCAGTATCTCTCCCGGTTCTCGGGAGCCCTGAGCAGAGGAGGCACAGGCAGGTCTGCGAGGCTGTCCAGAGACCCACATCCACTGGCCACCTGCCCAGCGTGGGCCGCTGGCCAGCCCCCCAGAGCCACCGGCAGGGGAGTGTCTGTCAGATCAGCTGTCTCAGGGCTGATGTGACATTGCCCAGAGCCCACTGCCCACATCAGCCTGTGATGGAGCAAGGGTGGATCAGGCCAAAGCCACAGCCTCTGAGGGGTGCCTGCAGGCACCGGGGCCTCTCTCTGGCCCCCATAGCGTAACCAGCGCCTTGCCCTCTGCCACTGGGGGCTGCAGGCAAGCTGCTCGGAAGATGCCAGTTGGTAGGAACCACACTGGGGCTGGGCCAGTGTCTTGCCCAGAGAGACCAAAATGCCCAGGAGGGAGGCTGAATCATGCTAGAGAAACCCCAGGGTGAGAGGGCCGGCCGTAAGCCACCCCCGATTCAGCATGGTGCTCCCTCTGTCGGGGGCACGGGGCTCCTTGCTACAGGGGCCAGAGCTGCCCAGACTCCTCGTCGCAGCCTGAAGACCGGCCATCCCCAGGAGAGGAGCAACGGCCACAGACAGGTAGATCATGGATGCCCCGGGAACAGGCTCAAAGGAGAGGCCCCTGAACGGGGCCGTACCCCAGACGCTGTGTACCAGCTCAGAGCCTGGCAGCTGGCCTGGTCCTCCTGCTAGGATCCAGAACAGGGCCGGGGGCCGGGGAGGGCAGCCTGATCTGGGAGTAAACCCCAAGCGGTTCAGCCCACGGTCTTCTGCACCCCAATTAGTTTTGTCCCCACAAGGTCTTGGGGTACACTCCAGCCTTCACCCCTATGACCTGCCACTCCCCGCCTCCCCACAGCCCTGCAACTGTCCTGTCCTTAGGGCTCAGCTCAGCGCTGCACAGGACACAGGGGCCCGTGGAGACACCTACGGGAGGAGCCGTGTCCGCCCCTGTGGCTGTGAGCGCCACGAGCACGCCCGGCCCCGCCACGGACGCAGCCCCAGCCCTGAGCCTGCTGCTCAGACACAACAGGTATCAGCTAGGCTCTCACACACCAGTCTCGGAACCCGTTTTCACAACTACAAAATGAGCCGACGGGAAGGGGACCTCCTCACAGTGCCCAGTCCCAGCCTGTCCTTCAGGACCAGGGACAGAGTCTAGAACCGTGGGGCAGTGACCGCAGGGGGAGGGGGCGGGTCTGCGGGTGGAAGGGACCGACTGGGACGCTCGTGCCGGCTCACCCCTGGCAGGGCCCAGGACTCCGAGCGCGGGGGCCTCACGACCAGCACTTCCAGCATTTTCTTGATGCCCTTCCTGCAGATGGCTCCGTCCTGGTTCCGCCTCCACCTGCAGACGGGCCGCTCGTGGGGATCCTCTGACGTCAGCACACCCCCCGCACCGGGGAGGGAGGCCACGGGGTCCTGGCCCTGCCCCCTGCCCTCCCGGAGGCCGACCTGTCTCCTTCCCCAGCAGCTGCTCCAGGTGAAGAACTGGGCTGGTGGCCGCTGGGGAGTGTCTCCTGCTTCACTGATCCCGGGAGGACTAGAATGGCCCCGGCTTTCAGGAAAATAGTTTTTTATCAAAAGCCTCCAAGAAACACGCGCCCTGGGCTCTGCTGTTCCACCACTTGCTCTTTGGAAATGCTGGGTGGGATCATACGTGTTTCCAGTCTGTCTGTGGGCCTGGGCCTGGGCCTTGGCATTGCCCCTCCTCCCAGAGGCACGCCAAGGGACAGGGACCTGAAGGGAGACAGTCTCCGGGAGTGGGGACAGGCCTGGGTTTTTTCCAGGGACAGGGACATTCCCACCCTGTGTCTCGGGTGTGCAAAAGTCAGTGGCTGGGACGGACATGATAGGGGCCCATGGGGGGACTGGGTGGCCTCGTCAGTGGCACTTACCGCGTGATCACGGGCTGCAGCGTGTGGTTGGGTCCAAAGCGACAAAGGCTCCCTCGCCCACGCAGTCCTGTGCGGCCCATGGGGTTCCTGGGGTGGACAGGGGTCGGTTAGATTGCCGCTCGCTCCGGGAGGACCAGGACAGGGCAGTGGGCAGAGGCCACTCGGGGGGTCATGCGGCTCCCCCAGGATCCTCCCCAGTCCAGGATTTTCAGAGCCCCGGCAGCTCACCTCGGCGGGAGGCAGGGAAGGAGCCCGTGTGTGGAGGTGCTGATGGGACCCCAGATCTGCCAGCCCTTCCCCCAGCCTCCCCACCTAGGGCTGTCCACCTGGGGACAGATGGCCCTGAGGGACCCCGAGGGATGAGGCAGGAGCTTCAGGTCACCTTGGAGTTGGCTGGAAGAGGAACATCCAGCCCGGCCACGGACAGTGGTGTCCGAGTGGCTGTCCCGCCCCCCGTGCCTAGCCCACCACGCCACACCACACGCGTCTGCACCCGGAGGCCTCACATACGTGGGTCCCGCTGTGACGCACCAGCCTGCTCTCTTCCCGCGCCACAGCCCCGCGTGGCCTCCTGTCGCCGCAGGGGGCCCGTCTCCCACCACCTCCCGACACGTAGCTCCTGTTCCAGGACGTTCCTGAAAGCCCCGCCCCCTGCCACCTCTGTGCAGCCACCCAGGCCCCGTCTGCTCCACGGGACTCACGTATCCCAGCCACTGCTGTCCCTCCACTAATTCTGACGGCTCCTTCCTCACCCCGGGCCCTGGAGCGTCTCCTCCCCAGAGACCCTGCCCACAGGAGGCTCCTTCATCTCCAGGAGCCCAGGCTGACACAGGAGGTGATCCCAAGGACTGCCGGGCAGGTCACTGGTCACTCGACAGCTGGACGTGGAGCATACTTTGCACAGTGGGACACCTGCCCGTCCCCACAGAGAACAGACGCTGGCAAACACAGCCACCCCTGGACACGAACCCACTGTCCCTCAATGGCTCGCCTGTGACCAGAACCCTCTCAAGGAAGCATGCTCTGTCCCAGAAATCCATGGAGATGGCAGGACGGTCACCCCGCTTTACAGGGAAGAACAGAAGTCCCCAAGGTTACTCAGAGACGAAGGCAAAGTACCCAAGGCCAGCGGGGTAAGTCCCACGAGGGGCAGAGCGGGGGCCTCATCGAGGTGCTGAGGAAACGTTTTAGGTCAATGTGTCTTTTCTTCTGCATTCTGTTCATTTTTATCAGAAAAATGGCTAGTTTGCCAAGACAGGGCAGCTGAGCCCAGAAGCAAGCCCCCAAAGGCCCCCACAAGGGTCGGGGTGATGTGGGATGGTGGCGGCTGCACTCACAGAGGGAGCCCGTCCTGCACCACGTAGAGCCCGTGGAAGCTCCGCCGGTCTGTGGGCCCGTCCACGGCGTTGTAGCTGATGCCGGCCAGGGCTTCCGGGGCGCTGGGAGCAAGCAGAGAAGTCACAGCCCCAGGGAGACAGGACGGCACCCGGACGGGGCCATCAGAGAGCACGCGGCCCCAGGTGCCCCCAGCCACACGCCTCCCTGCGTGTCCCAGCCCTTGAGGAGATCAGGGCACCCCGTCCAGGCCGGAAGCGGACCCTGCCCTGAGCCACCTCTGGCAGCCACCTGGGACCGCCGGGGATCCCTCACCCTCCCTCCTGCCTGGGGCCGAGGATTCGCACACTCACTTTCCCACAGGGTCCACCAAGCCGTTGTCCTTCCTGTCGTCCGTGTAAAAGGGCGGGTCGTAGATGAGAAACTCTGTCTGCACAGACACAGGGGTGCCCCCCTCAGACTGTCACCCAGACCACGGCTAAGGCCCAGGCACCCGGATGACCAAGGGCCATCAGAGTGCTCGTAGCCAAGGCCACCGAGACTGTCCCCAAAGTGCACAGGTAGATCCGAGCTCGGGCAGGCTGGGGAGGGGCGGCACCCCCTAACGGGGACGAGGCCAAAGGGGCAGCAAAAGCACTGCTGGTCTAGGGGAGCCCCCAGGATGGGGAGGGGGTCCAGGCTGGGCTCCAGGAATGAGGAGGACTCCAGCTGACAGGGACTCGGGAGAAGGAATGGAAGCCACCGTCTGGAATGTTCTGAAAAGACTAGAGAGAAAGCCTGTGGGCCAGGGAGGCCACGCAGAGGCTGTCTCCCCTTCCTCTCCCTTCGATGCTTCCGCTCAGCGGTAGCACTCACAAAAGGGGCAGTGACCGCTCCCGGGGATGCTGGGGTCCAGGACGAGTGAGGTGGCTGGAGGCAGGGGGACAGTGTGCTCCCTGTGTGGGTCAGGTCCCGGCTCCACCACCTCTAGCCACGTGCACCTACGGGACTCAGTCTCTTCCTCTGCCCAGCACATCCCGGAGGCTGGAGTGGGCGAGGGCAGCCAGTGCCCGGCTGTGTCGGGGGGCCCGGGGCAGAACTGCTGCCCCAAACCCCGGGAGCTTCCTGCCAGGGCTCACTTACCTCCCAGGGCACCTTCTCGTTGGGCACAGGGAAACGTGTGACATGGGAGTGAGGGTAAAGGAGGTGCCGGGCATTCACGTGGTGGCTGTCACCCACATCCTCCGCCTTCTGCCTGCCATCCAGCTCACTGTCCTGCCCCTCTGAGGCCTTCTGGGGTGCTGGGAACAGCCACAGGGAGCCGTGGGCAAAGCCGGACCCCGGCTCAGGCACCTGGCCCACAGGACAGGGGCGTCCTCTATGGCCCTTTCCCCAAAACTGGGCCTCCTCCACCTCCCCGAGTGCAGAGTGAAGCCTGTAGCCCAGGGCCCCAGGACCGTGGCTCTGGTAGGACTGAGATCTGGAGTCAGGCACTGTCCCCGCCCCCACCCCCCCACCCCCAACCAGCACCTGCCTCCTTGTGTGGCTGCCCCAGAGCCCGACCAGGGAAGCAGGACCAGCAAATGCCCCAGAAGAGCTAGTCATGCCCATTTCTAGAAACACAGACTTTGCTTTCTGTACCCCAGCACCTCCTGGAGCTGCCCCTCCTCTGTGTCATGAGGCACACAGGAGGAGGTCGGGGACATGGGCCAGACCTCCCCTCTGAGTCCCCCTTCTGGTCATGTCGGAAGCTCATCTGTGCTGGGCCCCTGCTCCCCGGGGCAGGCTATGCTCCTGCTACGTCCTTAGGGCTCAGGGATGGCTCCATCAGCTTACCCCGAGGGCCCGTGAGAGCCCTGCCTGCCGCTTCTCCTCCCCACAGACCCCCAGACTCAAAAGAACATAGGCCAGTAGAGACCAGCTGCTGGCGTGGCCCCCCCACTCACCCAGAGTGGGGAGGCCCTCCTCTGAGCCAAAGCCACTGTCCCTCAGTGCCTTCATGACCCAGTGCAATGCTCTGGACGTCTGGGCCACCTGGAAAGCATACCCCAAGCGAGATGTGGTCAGCACCTGCCCCCGTACAGCATACCTACCCCCCACCCCTCCCCCAAAACCACAAAGGTACTGCTGGAAGTGCCCCACCTGTTGCAGTGACCCCACCAGCATCCAAGCCCACCCTGCTCCCCTTGGTCACCAGCATTGCCCACCAGGGAGACACAGTGGCCACTGGACCTGGACACACCAGAGGCCACCGAACCATTCTGAAGACCCAGGAAGAGCTCTGAGCTATCTTCTCAGGGAGAAGGTGGGGCACGATGACCCATGGAAGCTTCCCAGGGCTCCTGTTCCTCCCAGAGAAAAGAAACCTCTGGAAGCCAAACATACTCAACTACAGGCAAAGTATGAGCCATGTGATGAACAGGGGCCAGGAGAACACAGCTCAGCGGGGCAGCAGCCACACTCGTGTTAGAGGGTGGCAGCAAGGCGAGGCCCCACAGGGGAGAAGGCAGTTTGTGCAGACCCCTACAGGCAGCGTTCCCCGGGTGGGGCTGGCTGACGGCGGACACCCTGCCAGCACACGGGCCCAGGGACTTGCCCCCCAGACACAGCAGAGCTGAGAAGGCATGAGACTCCAGTGACAGCATAGGGGCGCAGTTGCTCCCTGCTGGGAGGCTGCTGTGGGCCACAGGGGCTCTCATAAGAAAGCACAGGTCCTCTGTGCCACCAGCAAGAGGTGCACAGAAGGGCAGGGACCCAACCCCCACCCAGCCCACCCCTCCTTATCCTGGAGGCTGGAGGTCTCCCCAGCCACCAGCCCCAATACATCCCTTCATTGCTGTGCTTATGAAACTACACCGTGATGGTGGACCTTTATGTCTATGTCCCCAAGACTGGAAACCTCTAAGCAGGAGACAATGCCTGCTCACCTTGACTTTCCTCGGGCCAGCCCTGGTTGTGGCACAGAGGAGGAGCACGAGAAACATGAAATGATGGGTGGATGGATGGACGAAAGGATGGATGATGGAGAGATGGGGGGGTGGATGGATGGATGGATAGATAGATGGGGGATAGGTGGATGGGTGGATGGGTGGGTGGATGCTCGATGGATGGGGGATGTATGGATGTGTGGAAGGCTAGATAGATGAATGAATGAATGAATGAATGAATGAAGAGACAGATGGATGGGTGAGTGAACGTTTAGGGACCTAAGCCCAGCTTGCCTGCAAGGCTGCTCAGGGCTTCCTGTCTCAGGCCCAGGGCTTGGAGCCCAGCTGGTGTGGCCCATCCTGTGGGGGGACCATCAGTGTTCACTGATGGGGGATGAGTGCGGCTGCTCACCTGGTGCTAATTGCCTATCGACAATGTCCTTCAAGCTGCCTCTTACAAAGGAACGCACTCCTGCGTGCGGAAGCGTCAAAACCTTGGCCCCACATTCCCACCATGTGGGGCTGTTCTGAGACGTCCACACGCTGCTTTCTAATGTCGTTCCTCAGCCAGGGGTCCACACAGACATTCAAACGCAGCCTACACCTCCCTCCCAGCATCCCCTGGTGGCCTGGGACATCTGGACGTGGAGTCCTGTGCAGCGGTCATCTCAGAGGACAGCTCTGAGGGGGCCATAGAAGGGGACCAGAGAAGCTCCCTCAGACCAGCCTGCAGTGTGGACACCCCCAGTGCAGTGGGGCCAAGCTCGGTAGGGAAGTGTTTGACAGCATTTTCTGGAGGACAGCGAAGGTGCTGCTTCCAGTTGGGAACGGTTGCCCAAACATTCCCCAAGTCCGTCTCAGGGTCATTTCCCCAGAGTGCTCCCTCTCAGAGAGCAGGAGCCAGGCCTGTCGGAGGCCTGGCCCAGACGTGGGGCCCTGGCCCGGAACCCACCTGCGCCTCCAGGGAGGCAAGCCTCTGCTCCAGGGAGCTGGACCGCTTGCGACCCTCCATTTCCAGCAGGTCCACCACGGTGTTGACCCTGGAAGAGCACAGAGCTGAGCCCAGCCGGGCCGAGCTCGGGCCCGAATGTCGGGAAATATGGCCCCAGGCTGCAGGGGGAGGTCCCCGCCAGACTCAGTGGCCCGGCCTCCCCTGGCCTTCACTGCAGGCCTCCTCCCCTCCACCTGAAAGTACCTACAACATGCGTTTCTGTGCAGAATGAACACCGCCTCCCGCCCCAGAGAGGGAGGTCTCGTAGCGAGCAGCTGCCCCCGGCGCCCACGGCCACTCTGACGCCTGTAGGGGCCTCCCTGGGGGCGAGACGCAGGTGCGCACGACGCCCCTCGCCGTGACCGGCCCACAGGGCGCCGGAAGGTGAAGCTCCAGGTTCAGAGCCGCTTCCGGGCAGCGAGGGCGGAGGAGGGCGGCGCACGGCGAGGAACGTCGGTCTGCTTTGTGCAGCTTGGCTACAGCACGGCAGCGTCCCCAGCCGTGGCCTGGCCCATGTACAGTAATTAATTCCACGGGCAAACGTGGTCCAGGCTCTCCCCTCGGGCTGTGCCCGCTGCCACCTGCCGGGGACGCTCTTCCAGAACAAACTCAGCCCTACTCCAGTGACCGCTTCCAGTGGTTCTCTGGGGAAGGGGAGGAAGGTATCCTGAGGGTCCGGGTGTCACTCCTCCCTCAACTACGTGCTCCCTAATCCCACAGGAGCCACGAAACCGCTTCCTGCCACGTCCCCAGCCAGCCCGTGGACTACCGTGTGGGCACTGACACAGCGTCTTCAGACCCCATGACTCATGTCACCAGGACAAGCTCACCAGAGGCCCCACCTCATCAACACACCCCCTCCCCGATTTGTGGGTAGAGAGGGGTGGGCTCAGCTCAGCCACAGGGCTGTGGGGCCAGGGTGCACCTCACGGCCTCCCCGGGCCTCGGATCCCTCCCCTGAGCCAGGGAGGGAAGGTGCCCAGTGCAGGGCAGCATTGTCCCCGTGTCCCCAGCCAGGATGTACTCCTGACGTACACGCGCCCTCCCTCCCGTGTGTTTTGGAAACCATGCCAAGCGATGGCTGCCATCCTGACTCTGTTCACGGAGGAGCCAAGAGAGACCCAGCCAGGCAGGTGCATGGCTCCAAGGACAGGTGCACTCGGCCTGGCTACGAGGCGCCCAACCCCAGATGCCCCCTCAAGGCCCCACAGCACCCCTCTCTATGCACAGCCCAGGGGACGGCCCCAGGGGCAGGAGCTGGCATAGCTGCTGGGCCTGTGTCCCCTGCCTCCTCCTGGCCCACGACAAGGCACACCCTGACCGCACACCCATCAGGGCCAAGGGGTGACGCGGAAAGCCGGGAGCAGCACCGATTTCACACCAGAATGAAGAGGGGAGGGAGGACCTGGGGGCAGGAGGACGATACCCAGCGAGCCTGAGTTCCAGGTGGGCTGCCCGGTCCCACAGAAGTGGCAGCAAGGCCGTGTGCCCACAAGCTTGCTGAGCTCACCCCCCAGGCCAAGGGGGCCTGCCCCGGCCCACACCCCTCCTTCAGCCCTGTCCACAGGGGTCAGCCCTGCCCGCAGCATGGGTGACCTTCTTCCTCCTCCCCACCCCGCGGGGTCCAGTCTTCCCAAGGACCCAGAGAGAAGGCCGTGGGTCAGCCGGAGGACACAGGTTTCCCTGCCCCGGGGACCTGGCCCAGGTGGGCTGTGGCCGCAGCGCGCCTTTGAGCTGTAGGGGTTTCCCGCCCCGTGGCCACAGGGGCCGCCCTACTTCTCGCCGATGTCTTGAATCTGCTGCTCCGGCCTCTGCTTCTGCTGGTACCGCTGGTTCTGCAGGTAATTCTCCTTGAGGTAGATCTCCCAGGACAGGAGGGCGGCCTCCTCGTTCTTCTCCAGCTTGCTCTCTGCAGGGCCAGGGGCACGTGGAGGGACCCGGCCGCCCCGTGGGGGGACTGGGAGGGGCCCCGGCTGGGAGGAAGGCAGCGGGAGCCCACCCCAAGTCCACCGGGGGGCTGGGGGAGGTCAGAGGCCCGCGGAGTCTCCCGGGTTCTAGAAGGAGCCGCCACACCCCCTACAGGCCCCCTCCGCGCCCCGAGACCCACGACAGCGGAGGGCGTGCTCTGGGGACGGCGGAGGGAGGGGACTCACTGAGCTGTCTGTGCCTCTTGGCGGGCACCTTCAGGACCATCCTCTTGACAAACAGGTGCAGGTGGCTGAGGAGGATGAAGGGGGGCGGTGCTGGCGGCCTGCCGTGGTACTCCTCTATCAGGTCGTGGCGCTGGAACTTCCAGATCTGGTCCGTGTGCTCCTGGACCTGCTGGAACGTGTAGCTGGCAGGAGGCAAGGGGCGTGGGTCACGGGAGAGCCGGGGGAGCCCCGGATTTGCCCACAGCATTGCCTGGGCGGTTCTGGGGGAGCCCAGGGAGCGGCCCATGAGAAGCAAACACACAGCACCCCGGAGGGCAATTCCTGAAGCAAAGACATGCCAGCTGGGCCCCAGCGCCCCGGGGGGACCCTCACTTGAACATGGCAATGAGGAGGTTCAGCAGCAGGATGTTGGTTAAGAGCAGGTAGAGACACAGCAGGATGACCGTCAGCCACTCGGGGAAGGCGGGCTCACGCCGGGCGGCGTCACTCTCGGGACACTTGGGCTTGTAGGGGTCCGTGCCATTGGGGCTGCACTGGTCCAGGCTGAAATTCACACCTGGGGGGGCCGGGAACAAAGAAACCACACAGAGTCACGAGTTGGGCAGTGAGCTTCCCTGGGGCCTGGACAACCCCCACAGCGGGCTGACCTCAGCTGTCTGCTTTGGCCCAGAGAGAGGTGCCTGTCTACACCCAAGCATCCTCCATGGGCAGGAAGTGTGGCTGCCAAGGAAAGGGGAAGACCCCCGAGCCAGATCCATGCTCCAGCCTGGCGCAGGCCCCTGCCCGGCACACGGCCGACCCCTCTGGGGCACGTCCTGGGCTCCCGGGCAGAAGCCAGCCCCAGGAGGGGTGACGCAGACTCCAACCGCAGAGAGCCCAGGGACATGGGACAGAATTCGAACGAGAAAATGAACAGTTACCACAACGAGGAGGGAGGGAACCGTGTGGCACAGGCCACGTGCTGACCTACGCAACAGGGGGTACCAACCGAAGTGTAGTCCCCCATCCGTAGCCAAGGGAAGGGTAAAGGAGATCACAAAACATAAATATGTCCAGCCTGCACATCTAAAAATACTCCCGAGAGGGCATCTCCAATGGCAGTCATTAAGGGCAGTTACCCCGGAGGGAAGGGCTTACAGACAACTTTATTCTTTATATTTACTTTGGATTTAACATTTTTGCAACAATGAGCATGCACTAGTGTTTAGAGACTGGAAGTCTGTACCTCCCACCACCCTGTGTCTGTTTTGCTGATCTCCCCCACCCCCAGCAAACAGGCACTGGTAAGGAGAACAAGACCACAGCCCGACACACCCTTCCCCTTCCAGTAAACTAAAAAACGGAAAGCAAACCAGACCCAAAGCCAGCAGAAAGAAGGAAATAAGAAAGACCAGATGACCAGAATGCAAACAAATAAAAGAGAGAATAAGAAAACAACAAAGAAAATCAATAAAACCAAATCTGGCTCCTGGAAAAGGTTGAGAAGATAACAGCCCTTTATCTAGACCGGTCCATGGGGAGGGGGGTTGAATCGCTCAAGTTACAAGGAAGAGAGAACAGCACTACCAACCCTACAAAAGCAAGAAGAAGTCTAAGGAAACACCGCAGAACTGTGTGCTAACAAAGTAGATGGCTTAGAAACAGGGGCAGACTCCTAGCGAGAGACGAAACACTGGGAGTGACTAAAGAGGAGATGGGAGGTACAAGCAGACCTGAAACAGGTAAAAAGATTGAAGTTATAACTTAAAATTTCACACAAAGCATCATTCCGGCCCAGAGGGCTTCACTCGTGAATTCTACTGAATGTCTGAAGAATTAAAACCAAACCTTCACAAACTTTTCCAAAATATGGAGGACGAGGGAACACAGATAACGCGTTCTGAGGGCAGTATCACCGTGATACCAAAACCACACAAAACAAAACTGAACATAGATGCAAAAACCCTCCCCAAAATGCCGGCAAATTGAATCCAGTAACACATAAAAAGAATTATACTCCATGACTGAGTGAGATAGATCCCAGGAGGGCAGAGCTGGCTTTACATCTGGAAATCAATTAATACAACACACCATATTAATAGCATGAAGAACAAAAATCATGTGAACATTTCAACAGATGCAGAAAAAGTGTTTGACAAAATTATATACGCTTTTATAATAAAAGCACTTGAGAAACTAGGGATAGAAGGTCTTCCTAACTCTGATGAAGGACATTTACAAAAAACCCCACAGTGAACATCATACTTAGCAGTGAAAGATTGAAAGCTTTTCCCTCTAAGATCAGGAACAACATAAAGATGTTTGTTCCAGACGCTTCTATTCAATGTTGTCTCGGGAGATCTAACCAGGATAATTAAGTAAGAAAAAGAAATAAAGGTATTGGATGGGAAAGGAACAAGTAAAAAGCATCTCTATTTGCGGAGGGCAAGATCTCGTATATAGTAAATCCCGAGGAATCCACTAAAAACTATGAGAGGTATAACGAAGTTCGGCACGGTTTCAGATCAACATGCAAATATAGTGTATTTCTGTACACTACCAACAAAAAATCCAAAAATGAAATTAATAAAATAATTCTATTTACAAAAACATGAAAAAGAATCAAAATCTTAAGAATAAATTTCAAATGAGTCTAACTCTCATGCTGAAAATTATAAAATATTGTTGAAAGAAATTAAAGATCTAAATAAGCAGAAAGGTATCCCATGCTCACAGTCAAAATCCTAAACACCTTTTGGGGAAAGTGAGAAGCTGATCCAAAAATTCATGTGGATCCAAGGGACCCGGTGGCCAAAGCAATCTTGAAACAGAACAACGTTGAAGGACTCACATGTCCTGATTGTGAAACTCACTATGAAGTTACACTCGCCAAGACCGAGTGGTGTTGGCACAAGAACATAGAGATCAACGGAATAGAGCTGAGAGTCTATAGATAAAACTTTCATTAATGGTCAGTTGATTTTTGACAAGGGAGCCAAGACAACTCAATGGGGAGAAATGTTTTCAGTACATGGTGCTTGAACAACTAGACATTTCCATACAAAAGAATGGCCCTTACCTCACACTGTATAGAAAACTAGTTTAAACAGCTCAAAGGCCAAAAGAAAGAACAAAAGCTGTTACTTCTGGAATAAAACGCAGACGTTAACTCTTCATGACCTTGGATCAGGCATCATTTGATATCAAATGATAAAAGCAATTGATAAGGTGGACAGCATCAAAATTAAAAACGTTTGTGCTTTGAAGGACACCATCAAGAAAGTGACAAGATGACCCCATAGACACATGAGAAGGGACTGGTGTCCATACGTAAAGAATTCTTGTAACTCAATAAGAAAGAAAAAGAATCCACTTGAGACATGGGCCAATGAGGGGAGTAGACATTTCTCCAGAGAAGACGCCCGAATGGCTCAGGGAGCACGTGAAGAGATGCTCCACACCGTTTAGCATAAGGGAAATGCAAATCAGAGCCACAATGAAATGCACCTCACACCCACTGGGACGGCTAGAAGAAAAAAAAAAAAACAATTATAAACCAGAGAGAATGTGGAAATTGGGGCCCTCGGGTCCATTGCTGGTGAGGACATAAAATACAGGGCAGCTGCCAGAGAAAATTGTTTGGCCAGTTCTCAAAAAGTTAAACACAGACTTAGCATACAACCCAGCGAGTATACATTCCAGTCCCAGATATATGCCCAAGAAAGAGGAAAACATACGCCCACACAAAAACTTATAAGTAACTGTTCATAGCAATGTTATTCATAAGAGCTAAAAAGTAGAAACAACACGTGTTCACCGACTAACAAATGCATACACAAAATGTGGTCTGTCCGTACAACGGAATATTATTTAGCAGTAAACGGGAATTAAATACCGATGCAGGCTACAAGTTGGGCGAGTCTTGAAAACGTTACGCTAAGGAAAAGCAAGACACGAAGATAACGTATTGCGTTCTCCGGTTCATATGAAACGAGCAGCAAAGACAGATTGTACAGATGGAAAGTAGATCGAAGGTCGCTAACAGTCCGGAGGGATAGGGAGTGACTGCTAACGGGTGTCTTTCGTGGGTGATGCGCGTGTTCCGCACTGGAACCACTAAAGCACACTTTATACAGCTGAGTTATACCTCGGAGAAGCTGCTGAGAGAAGGAGCTCAGTACGCAAAAAGGCTTGTCCCCGTCCAGAGGAGGAGGAGGGACAGGGTGGCATGTGGTGTGGGGAGGGGTGTCGGCTGGTGTCCCAGCACCCCAGGCCACCCCCGTGGCCCGCCTGGGATCTCAGCACAGCTTCGGGGTTCAGCTCAGACTCCCCCCGCCCCGCTGATGCCAAACCCCCTCAACCCAGCATCGCACGCACCTATCTCTCTGCCACGTGGGCCCTTGGGGAGCTGCCACCCACCGCCCCCTGTCCCCCATCCTTCTGAGCTTTGCAGGCACCCCGGCAGGTGCTCTCAGTGCCCCAAGTCCTACCGTCAATGTAAGCCGGCATCTGCCCGAAGATGGTGAGGTACGACTGGTAGACGACCCCCCGGAAGATCCAGTCCACTCGGCTCTCGTTGTGGATGAGGATGGCCTGCTTGGCCACCCCAAAAGACACCACCCACACCGCCAATAGGAAGAGGAAGAAGAAGACGTCCTTCATCTGCAGAGACACAGTGGCCCCAGCTGCTGCCACACGCGCCCACGTGTCCCCTCCCTGCACACCTGGGCCAGGGCCCCACAGCACTGGGAGGCATCTCTGATACCCACTGCAGGGACACGGGGGCCCACCGTCCTGGGCCTGCCCCCATATCCTCACAGGGTGCCGGGCGCCACACAAGGGGCTGGATGGGACTGTGACCCATGGAGGGGAGCGACAGGAGCTATAACAGGGACAAGGAACGAGCTGTGGTGATCAGGGAAAGCTTCCTGGAAGAGATGTACATGCAAGGACCTGAGACAGGCATGCTAGGGTTGGGAGTCCGAGGGCGAAGCAGGGACATGGGAACCTGGCAGCGGTCTCGGCCCGGGGGCCCCTCAGCGGCCGCTGGCGTCAGGACCCACTTGTCTCCTCACCATCCGCTTCACGATGATGATCTTGGGCCCCAGCGTCTTACTGACGGTGAAAATGTGCATCAGCCGGAGGCAGAACATGATGAAGTCCAGGGACAGGATGATGCGTCCCGGGTACAGCAGCCCGGGGATGAGCCTGCCCAAGGCAGAACCGAGGCCCTCAGCTCGCCACGCCAGGGCCTGCCCACCTGCCCGCTCACCGGCCCGAGCCCACAGTGGCTCTGGAGGCCTCTGGAGGCCTCTGGACCCCAAAGTACCACGCATGGGGTACAGCTCACAGGCAGAGCCTCCGGGGCTCTCTCCAGAAAAGTCCAGAAACCCAGTTGGGGGCAGGGCAGGTGGGCCCTGCGGCCTCTTGCCTCATGGAGGAAGGGATGGTGGCAGGGACACGCGGGGCCCTGAGGGACAGCAGAGTGGCCGGAGCCACAGCAGGAGGTGCCAGGGAGGGCCCCTGGGCCTCAGGAGCTCCGGCCCCTTCTCTGCTCCTCCGCCGGCCCCGGGGAGCATCTGCCCACCAGACAGATGACAAACACGCCCGGGGGGACTGGAGCCCTCGGGGCTGCCATCACGGAGCAGGAGGCCCAGGGGCGACCGAGACGCTCACCTGCAGGTCAGTCCTGCTACGAAGAGCAAGATGGCGCTGACGTCCAGTTTGTTCCAGAAGTCGCTGAAGTACAGGAGTGCCACCTTCAACAGCCCGAGCTCATCGGGGTCGTAGAAGAGCTGAGAGAGGGCGCGGTTAGGGGCCTGGCTGTCGTCACCATCGGCACCAGGGAGGTAAGAACACTTGCTCCTTCCCGGACAGCGAGGCCAGCCAGGGAGGGGACAGATTTCCCCCGTTCCCATGTCCCCCGGGTCGAGGAGGAGGGAGGAGGAGCTCCAGGCAGGGGTGTTGCCCGGCACCCTGAGCCCACAAATGTCCATGTTCTTGGGGGCAGTCCGTCCTCTCTGTCGGGAGCCAGCCAGCTCCCAACGGACCCCAGGACCCCAGGAAGGGTGGGACGGTGGCAGGCCCAGACCCTGGCGGCGGGGTGGGTCAGGGAAAGGTCCCAGAGATGGTCAGACTCAGAGCAGCGGGCACATGAGACCCCCATTCTGGGGCTGCCACCTGTGAGACTGGAGCTTTGTCCCTGGGAGAGGATCTGGCTTCAGGAAGCGGTGCAGCCAGAGGAAAGCTGGGAAGAGCCCAGTGGGACAGTGCTGCTTCCTGCACCTGCCTCCGCACCTGCCTCC